TGTCTGTGCCTTTCCCCTTGGGAAATTTTGTCCGAGGTTTGGTGAAGGATGCAAATATACACAATGTCAGACTCTTAAAATAATTACTTGGGAAAAAATCCCCAACACCACGGAACCATATAGTGTGATAATTCTGCCTATTCCCATACAAGCTGCTAGAAAGTTTAGATAAGTAATATATGCTTGATAAATAAGGGATATTTGGTAATCAAGATTTATAAATACCTGAGGTCTACTCAGGTTCACACTAATAACTGCCTAGCATCAGCTTTGCACTCTTTAATTTTTAGCTATTGAAAGACCTAAAAAGTAATGTTAATGATGGACTAACCTGGAAACCAATATCTGTTCCTTGGAATTTGCTAGCTTCCTCTCACAAGGCCCTGAGATAAGAAAAATTCACACTGCCCCTCCTTTCCTGTGAGTCAGCAGGTGGTAAATAGGGTCCTTAGGAAACAAAGAGATAGCTGTAACTCTGGTTTGCCCAGACAAGATTAATTAGTACACCCTGAGGCCCTAAGGTCTGCTGACCCTAATAGCGAGACCATCCGGCCTCAAAGGGTCACATACTCAATGGACAGAGGGTCCCACCCCCTCCCTAAGCTTGTGGGTTTGCCTTTAAAAACACCTGGGCCCAGGGGAGGGGGCTTCTCCCTAGCCTGCGTGGTGGAGGAGCCCGTTTGCGCAAATGTTTCCTGTTCATTAAAGCCTCTTGTGTTTTGCAGCAACTGGACTGGACATTGAGTTCTTGGGGTATCAACCGAACCTGGAAGACTCCTCATTCTGAGGGTCTTACACTATTTGGATAAACTAAGCCGTACAAGAAACTACAATATTCTATAATGGAATGTCTGTGCAATCCCCCAAAGTCCTTTTCCCAAGGACAGGCAATTAGATGAGAAAGTCCCCATTCCCTCAGGGGCTTGAAGAAAGTTCCTGCATGCTAAAAAGGGAGTCTTATGGCCCTTTCATTAACATATGACTGGTGCTTGTTAACTTGTCAAGGTCAATGTTTGCATGGTACAGCTCACTTGCCTCCTTCCCCAGCCCCATGATTCCACACATCCTCTTTGGGACCTGTTGTGGGATATTTGTGCACTGTGCAGGAAGTATAGGCAGGATTTCTGGGGAGAGAAAGGGATATGAGGAGGAATCTAGGCTTTGAGACACGAGGAGACTCGAAGATGGAAGAGAGGTAATGCCACGTGATAGAATGTAGATTAATAGAAATGGGTTAATTTACATTGTAAGAGCTAGTTAGGAGTAAGCCTAAAGCTATAGGCCGAGCTTTCATAATTAATAAGGAATCACTGTCATCATTTGGGAGGTGACTGGCAGAACAGAAAGACTTGTTACAGGGACCTATGCTCTCCAGCATCTGAACTCATATATATATATATGCACAGACACACACCTAAGCACACATGCACACGCAATTAAAAAAAAAATGAAAGCAGGGTGAAGGGGCCTTGGAATTGGCACAGAACACATCCAGACATCAAAGTCTCAGCACAAAGGAGATTTATTAATCAAGCAAGGTAGAGGCACAGGGTGGCCGAACCTGAACTGGGTGGAAACAGCAGCTGGTGGCTCAGCAGGAATAATTTTTAAGGAGACGAAATCTGGACCAGGACCGGTCTGTAGGTTCTGAATGGGCATGTTAATTATCGTAGTCAAATGGGGGGGGGGGTGTTTGATGTTTTGATAGTTGGGCCTTGGTGATCGGCCTCAGGACCGAGACTGGCATGAGGAAATGGCCAAATAGAACTCTGGTGGTTTAACCCCAAGAGAGAAGAAGGGAAGGGCAGGCTGGGCATGCTGTGAGTTTGTTTGGGCCTGTTAGAGTCCTCCACAGGGTGCTGGGGGAAAGGCTCAGCAATTAAGAACACATCCCAGCTTCCAGCATGTACTTCAGATGGCTCACAGCCACCCGTAACCCCAGCTCCAGGAGATCTTGGGCTGCTTCTAGCCTCCTGGGTACCAGCACATATAAGCACATTCCCACACACACACACACACACACACACACACACGCAGAGTCAAAAATAGGGAAACACATCCTCAACAGAGCTTAAAACATCTTTAAAAAGTAAGAAAACAAACCATAGTTTCAGAAAAGTAGTGTAGAAAATTACCCTGAGACACATGAATAGAACACGTGACATACATAGTGAGTTTCATGTTTAGACTGATCTCATGCCCCCAAACATCTCATTATATGTTTACAAACATTTCAAAATCTGAAGTCTGTAATACAGCTATTTCCCAACCATTTCAGATAAGGGACACTCAGCTTGGACAGTACCCTTTTCGCCTGTAATTGCCTGTAAATACCCCTTTTGTATGAAAAATAATTGTCTCTTTAATGAATATACTCAAGCCAGTCTTCTCTATTTGTTGTTGCCTCTGCCATTTTATTATTATTATTATTATTATTATTTAAAACTGGGTCAGAATCTCATATAGCCCAGGTTAGCCTCGAACTCCTATCCATCAACTTGTTTTAGGTTTTCTATTGCTGTGAAGAGACACCATGACCAGGGCAACTCTTATGAAGAAAACATTCAATTGAGGTTGTGGCTTACAGTTTCAGAGGTTCAGTCCATTATCATCATGGTGGGGAGCATGGCGGCCTGCAGGCAGATGAGAGCTTGCTGAGAGCCCTAGTTTTGCAGACAACAGAACCCCAACTGAGATACTGGATGGTACCCTGTGCCTAGGAGACTTCAAAGACCCCCCCCCCAGTGACATACTTCCACCACCAAGGCCCATACCCGCTCCAACAGTCACCAGGTTATGGGGACCAATTACATTTAAACGACCACAGTAGCTCAAAATGACTTTAAATTTCTGAGTCCCCTGCCTCTGCCTTGAGAATACTGGGATAACAGGCATGCATCCATGCCTTGTTGTGTAATATTTTATAATCTAGAGGTTCTTGGAAAAGAAATAAGCCCATAAACATAAATAAATCTAAGCTGGGTAGGGATGGTGCATACTTTCAATCCCAGCAGGAACCTGGAGGCAGAGGCCATGGAAGGGGGGCTGCCTACTGGCTTTGATCTTCATGGCTTGCTCAACCTGCTTTATTGTAGAAACCAGGATCACCAGCCCAGGGATGACACCACCCGCAATGTGCTGGGCCATCTGCAACAGTCACTAATTAAGAAGATACCCTCCAGGCTTGCCCACAGCTCCACCTTGTGGAGCCATTTTCTCCATTGAGATTCCCTGCTCCCTCAGGACTTTAGCTTGTGTCAAACTGACATAAAACCAGCCAGCACTCAGCCCTGCTAAGCTGAAGTTAACACTCTGGGCCACGTCTGACTCTTCTGAGTGCTGGTTATGGAACTCAAGTCTTTATGCTTTACTAAATGCCCCTGACCCCCAGTCATCTCTCTGGTCTCCCATTTGCTTTTTTCTTTTCTTGCTTGTCTTGGTTTCTTTCTCGTTTATTAAAGATTTTTCTTAAAAACATAACCGTGTTTGGCTTTGTGTGTATTTAAGAGTGAGGTTTTAGCTGGGCCGTGGTGGCGCACACCTTTAGCCCCAACACTCAGGAAGCAGAGGCAGGTGGATCTCTGTATTTTCCATGCCAGCCTGGTCTACAGAGTGAGTCCCAGGACAGCCAGGGTGATTATAACAGCAGGATTCTTGTCTATTTCACTAAGATAAGGCCGATGAGAGTATCTTTGGGATTCCCCTCCCTCTTGGGTTGGTAAGCTTCCCCGCAGTAGGTTTTCCAAAGGTATGTACCTGCTCTTGCTGTTGTTTAAGAATTAATCCTCTCAGGGTTGCTAAACCAGCTCATTCTGTTTGCTTTCCAACTTTCAAACTGTCCCTATCACCGCCTCATTTCCCTTTTACTTTGTTCTCACAGGTTTCTCCCTTATGGTGTAGACAGAAGAAACCCTGTCCTGAAGCTCAGCCCTACCCCAGCTTTAACAAGAAGCCCTTTCATTTTATTTTTCTCCTTCCTTCTCTCCCCTGCTCTCATCCCTCCCACACGCCTGTTTTGGTTTTTGTTGTTGTTTCCTCAAGATTTTGCATGTGTAAGCTGGGCTGGCCTCCAGCTGTCCATCTTTTTGCCTCCGCCTGTAATTATAGGCATCTACCACCACTCTTAGCGCCATTATTATTTCTTCTTCTCCTTTTGAGACGGGGGTGTCATGTATTCCAGGCTTGGACCGAACTCTGTGAGCCCAAGGAAGGGTGACTGCTTGGAATTCAGACGTACACCAGCATGTCTGGATTCTGCAGGGCCGGGGTACATTCAACATGCTAAACAAAGTCATCTACCACGTGTCTGTGTGTATCTGAGACAGGGTCTCACATATCCCAGGCTGGCCTTGAACTCAGCATACGGAGGATGACCCTGAATTACTGATCCTCCTGCCTCCGCTTCACAAGTGCTGAGATTACAGGCGTGCACTACCCCACTCAGCCCCTTAAGATAATTTCACTGAAGGACAAATCCCGGTTTCGACACAGATTATTTGGTTGCCCTAAAGTGGCATGTGTGTACATATACTCGCTTCTGTACGGCATGCTTCTGTATAGTAATTGTTTTGCAAAGGGAATGAAGTTACTTCCAAAGGTCCCCCCCACCCCCCCAACCCAACATCCGCCTCAATACCCTGCCCGATGGGGGCGCCACACTTTGCAAGAAATAGATGACAAAGTGATCAGAAGCGGAATGCTGGGCGAGGGCGGAGACGGGCAAAGGAACACAGCCATAGACCACCACGCCCCTCGGGAATAAAGAGCGAGGGGCGGGGTTTAATCTGGTTGATGATTGGTTGTGATCGCTGGCCAATCATGAGCAGCGATTGATTTTTTTTCTTCTTCTTCTTTCCACTCACAGCGATGATCCGCCTCCCTGGAGGTTTTGACGCCACGTTTACAAATGAGGGTAGGTTACGTAAGAGAGATGGAGCGGGCAGCCAATGAGCGCGCGGGGCGCTAATGGGCGGGTGAAGCCGCTGCCAGGCTCGGGGCGGAAGGAGCGTCCCCGGCTGAGACGGAGCGGAAGATGGCGGCGGAGACGCTGCTGTCCGGTGTGCTGGGGCTGCTGTCGCTCGGGCTCCTGCTCCCCGCGCGGCTCACGGGGGCCGTCGGGAGCCTGAACCTGGAGGAGCTGAGCGAGATGCGTTATGGCATCCAGATCCTGCCGTTGCCTGTCATGGGAGGGCAGGTGAGGGCTGTGTGGCGGGAGGGTCCTGAGCCAGAGCGGGGGGCTCGCGCGCGGAGGAGGAGGGGCAGGTGCGAGCCGCGCACCGGGGACGGAGCGGGAGGGCAAGGGTAGCTGGGGCTCACCCGGCACCGGGGTGGCGGGGTGTGGCTTCCCGCTGTGCGCCCCGCCGGGGCCGGGGAGAGCTCCAGGCCCGCCCGCCGGCTGGGGAAGCGAGCGCGCCCTCCCTCCCTCCCTCCCTCCCTCCGCCCGCGTCCAGGCTGCAGGACCTGTGGCTGATGCTCTCGGCGCTTACTCCCCCCCCCCAGGGTCTGAGGGGGATCTCGTTGTCCTCGATCCCAGCCTCTACCTCCCTGCCCCCCTTCCCGACCCTTCTTTCCCAGAGCCAAGCTTCGGACGTGGTGGTTGTGTCCTCGAAGTATAAACAGCGTTATGAGTGCCGCCTGCCAGCCGGGGCCATTCACTTCCAACGGGAGAGGGAGGAGGAGGCACCCGCGTACCAGGGGCCTGGGATTCCGGAATTGTTGAGCCCCATGAGAGATGCTCCCTGCCTGTTGAAGGTGAAAGGTGTGGGGTGGGGGGGTGGAATGTAGTCATGACAACTGGAGTGCTAGGGAAGGAGTGGGTACTGGGGGGCTGTGGGGGTTCAGGGGCCACTGGTATGGTAGATACATTTATAGACGGTGGGGTGGGTGGGGGCCAAAGACTCTTGCATCCACTGATCATCTTTGCTGAACGTAGGGAAGGGTAACAGGCAGTCGGTCTTAGAACAGGCTAAGCTGAGATCAAAATGAGTACAGAGCTGCAGTGGCCGGACCGGAGGAGTAGGCGCCTACCCAGAAAGTCACCGTCCACCCATGCTGCCTGTATCTCCGGGTTCCCTTGTATTTGGAGAAGTTCAGTTAATGCTTGAACCTCTGGGAGTCTTCATCCGACACCCTCAAGGACAGCAGGGTTTCTTACCTTTATGGCGGGCAGGGAGTTTATGCTCCCAGGCTGGACTGCATAGCATGGCCCTGTCTTACCCCTCCCCTAACCAAAAACGAAAAGAAAGGAAGAAAGAGAGGAAGACACGTGTGGAAAGTAGGCATATTTTAGACGTGCATCTCCAACCATGAAAGAGACAGCTGTCCCTTCTCGCAGGGTCTGGACAAAGATTGCAAAAACAGAGAGTGATGAGAACTAAATGGAAGTTTATATTATTCTGGAGCCAGGAGACTGCTTTCTAATGGAGGGATTTTCATGCCCCCTGATGGTTTTTTCAATTGTCAGACCAAGGACTGGTGGACGTATGAATTCTGTTATGGACGCCATATCCAGCAGTACCATATGGAAGGTGACTCGTTCTCAGATTTTTTTTCCCAAGCCTTCACCGTCCTGTGTGGAAGGGGACTTCCCTGCCAGTCTCCTCCCCTCTAGGCCCTATAATGGGAATAATGTGCTTCCCCATGGCTTTTCTTACAGACTCAGAGATCAAAGGTGATGTCCTCTATCTGGGCTACTATCAGTCGGCCTTCAACTGGAATGATGAAACAGCCAAGGTGACTGGAGTGTGGGGTCAGAGTGGGGGCAGGCGGCAGGGGAGGGCCAGACTCATCGGGTGTGGTGCCTATCAAGGCCAAGTCCCCTGGCATCAGGATCCCTGTGGTCTCCAGGTCCCTGCGGGAGGTTAGCATCACTCTTCTACCTTGCTTTTTCTCACACCCTCTCCATCCCTCCCTCCTGGTGATTTCTCCAGGCCTCCAAGCAGCATCGACTGAAACGCTACCACAGCCAGACCTACGGCAACGGGTCCAAGTGTGATCTCAACGGGAGGCCCCGAGAAGCCGAAGTTCGGGTAAGTCTGGAAAGAAGGAAGGAGAGTGGCCCCTGAGTAGCAGCCTCCCCTGTCTGGGAGGAGGGCAGATGGAGTTGGCGTCTGCTAGATGCCGTTGTCTGGATTTAATTCTGCACTTCCCATGTGCTTACACTCGCCTGCGTTATTATTAATGTTAGTGTCTGTCTTTGATTCTTCGTGCTCTGGATGTAGTACTCATTAAGGCCCTGGCCTTAACTTATCTGGTGAAGGGGCAGCAAATAGGAAGGGAAGGCAGATGTCAACACAAGACATGAGTCTGAAAGAAGCCAGAAAGACGGGGGTTCTCAACCCGTGGGTTGCGACCCCTTTATGGGACAAACAGCCCTTCCACAGGCCCAGGCACGGTGGCACACTTCTGTAATCCCAGCACTCGGGCAACAGAGGCAGGCGGGTCTCTTGAGAGTTTGAGGTCACGCCTGGTCTACAGAGCGAGTTCCAGGACAGCTTCAGAAAACAAAAACCTCTTTGGTTGGGTATGGTAGCACAGTCTCAGGAGACCGAGGTGGATGGGTTGTGAGCTCAAGGCTATCGTGAACTTCGTGGTAGAATACGGTACTAACAAACTACCAAAAGAAAACCCTGTTCTGTCCTGCAGTTGGGACTCTAATTCTCACCTTCATCTCAGCCAATGGCCTCCTAACCACTGGTCCTTACCACTGGGCTTATAGCTGAGTGGAGAAGCATGCAGAAACAGCTCTCAGTCTATAGAGTCTACACCTGGAGAGAGCCACGTGAGACCTACCAGCAAAATGGATTTGCGAAATCAATTGTGCAATCACTTGTGCACTAGACTTAAACACCCAGTCCCGAGAGTGGGAGGAAGTACTCATGTTACCAGCTATTTGCTGCGTGAACACTCCTTCCGTGCCCAAATCAAGCTGTTAGTATGGCATGGCCGCCTTGCGAGGTTGCCAGAGGTTTGCCAGGTGGCCTGTGTGAGAACGTGAGCTGACTGCAGTGTGTTGCCATTTCTGCATGGTCCTGGAAACCATTCAGTGCTTCTGCCTCACAAAGGGAATCCAAGTGTTCAGCAGTGACCAGGCGGTGCCGGGAAGTGATAGGAAATAGTCAAAGTCTGGATTTACTTTGTCCTTTCATTTTATTTATTTATTTTTTCAATGACAATTTCTCTGTGTAGCCCTGTCTGTCCTAGGGAACTCACTCTATAGACCAGGCTGGCCTTGAACTCAGAGATCCGCCTGCTTCTGCCTCCTGGGTGCTGGGATTAAAGGAGTGTGCCACCACTGTCTGGCTTAATTTTAATTTTTTAATATCTTATATAAAGTAGTGGGTTTCATTATAACACTTAAAACTGTTTAAAGAGGAAGCTGCTTTAAAGCTTTTTTTGTTTGTTTTTCTGTGTGTTGCTGTTTTGCCTGCATGTATAACTGTGTGAGGTGTTGGATCCCCTGGAACTGGAGTTACAGACAGTTGCAAGCTGCCGTGTGGGTGCTGGGAGTCAAACCCAGGTGTGGGCCTGAATGAGTTAATGTGTACCCTGTGCGGATGCCCTCAGAGGCCAGAGGGAGTCAGATCTCCTGGGACTGGAGTTGCAGGCAGTTGTGAGCCCCCCATTACGGGTCTTGGAAACCGGACCTGGGTCTTCTGCCAGAGCAGTATGCTCTCTTAATCACCGAACCGTCTCTCCCAGCGCCTCATGATATTTTCAGATGTTTCTTTCATTGTACTTTGATTGTGTCAGCCCCTCACCACATTGTAGATGAATTCTGATGGTAAAACAATGAGATTTGTTGTGGGACTGGACATGAGTCAGACTTGAGGAAGACTGTGGCTGTCTTAGTTTCAGTGGCTGCAAATGACAGAAATGCCATTGGCTACAGCGTGAAAGAGCAGGTTGAAAAAGATGGGCTGTGCTTGTGTGTGGAGGTCAAAGGCCCATCAGACAACCCACTGGTGATCCTCGGTCAGCAATTAGCTCTGTGCCTCAAAACGAAATCTAGGCTAGAGATAAAAATACTCATCCTGTCTCTGTCACAGGGGCCTTGTCGCTCTGCCAGGGACAGTATGATGCTCTTTGAGTGGCTGACTCTGTCTCTTCATTCAGGTTAGACTCCATAATACCTTGTGCGGTTCTCAAACCAGGTCCCTTTCCATCCTGGTAAGCACTTACAGTGTTTGTCTCAGTCAGGGTTTCTATTGCTTGGACGGAACACCATCACCAAAAAGCAAACTTCTACATTGCTGTTCATCAAGAAACTCAATCAGGGCAGGATCCCGGAGGCAGGAAGTGATGGAGGCCATGGAGGGTGCTGATTACTGGCTTGCTTCCCCTGGCTTGCTCGGTCTGCTTTCTTACAGAACCCAGGACCAGCAGCCCAGGGCTGGCACCGCCCACCATGAGCTGGGCCCTCCACCACTGATCACTAATTGAGAAAATGCCCCACAGCTGGATCTCAAGGAGGCGTTTCCTCAGCTGAGGCTCCTTCCTCTGATGGCCCCCGCTTGTGTCCAGTTGACACACAAAGCCGGCCAGTACCATGTTTTATAATCTTCAAAGTCAGTGCCATAGACTGGCTATGGGATGGCTCAGCCCTACAACCCAGCACGTAGGAGTCTGAGACAGGGGAAGACTGCCAAGTCTGGGGCTGGCCTGGGCTCCATAGGGAGTTCTAGGCCACTCTGGGTTACAGAATGAGAGCCTGTCTCAAAACAAACAAGAACATGTATCATCGCCTGAGATGTTCTTATGTAATACCTGCCTCCATCTAACTGCACTAACTCCCAAGAAGGGAAGGCAATGCCTGTCCTGTTTCTTGTGACATCTTAGATCCTGGGGTGGGACACGGTACCAGTTGATGCCCAACTATTTACTCAATAAACAGACTGAATGAATAACAGCCCTTCAAATATTACCTTTCTTTCTGCAGAGGCAGGGCAATCTCTGTGAGTTCAAAGCCAGCCTGGTCTACCAAGTGAGTTCCAGGACAGCTGAAGGCTACACAGAGAAAGCTTTCTGTTTTGAAACAAAACAAAAAACAAAACAAAACAAAACAAAACAAAACAAAAAAAAACATTCTGTCTGGAGTGAGGTGCTATCTGGCTGTGGTTTCAGTTTGCGTTTCCACCATGGGTTCCCGGAATCAAATTCAAGTCATGAGGCTTTCACAGCAAGCTCGCTGAGCCATCCTACCAGCCCACAGGGACTTTTAAAATGTGCTTGTAGGCATATATCTGTGGCTCTTTGCACATGAACATATAAAAATCTGTCCTTTCTCTATTCATGTGCCGTTCCTCTGCTATGCGTCCACACCATCTTTTATCTAAGCGGTTCCCTATGGATGGATATGTAGGTTGTCTTAAAGCTTTTACCAACACAGAATTGGTGCAGTGAACAGTCCTCTTGTACCTATAGAGTATGTGCAGATTATATTCCTGGAAGTAGACTTGTGTGGTTTGGATATGTGTTGCCAAATTACCCTACTTAGGAACACTGCTCTCCTCAGTGTGTAAGAACGCCAGCCTGCTATATTTTTAAACTTTTGGAATCTGACTAATCATTGGCTATGCATCAGCTCAAGAATCCTTTCTCAGAATGGTTTTGTTTTACATTCCTCCTTATGCTTCCTCATCCTTTTTTTTTTTTTTAATTTATTTATTATGTATACAGTGTTCTGCCTGCATGTGTGCCCGAAGGCCAGAAGAGGGCGCCAGATCTCATTACAGGTGGTTGTGAGCCAACATGTGGTTGCTGGGAATTGAACCCTTGAGCCATCTCTCCAGCCCCACGCTTCCTCATCTTTAAGAGTCTCTTGTCATTGCAACACTTAGGAGGCAGAGGCAGGAGGATCACTGGTTTAAATGAGGACTTCCAAGACAGCCAGGGCTACATTATAAGACACCGTCTCTCAGAACAAGCAAACAGTACTCTCTTATCCCCTCTAACACTTTGTTTGGGACACACACACACACGCCCCAGACAGGGTTTTTTCTGTGTAACAGTCCTGGCTCTTGGCTTTGAACTCACGGAGATCTGTGGTGTGCCTCTGCCTCGGTAGTGCCGGGGTTGAACCTGTGTACCACCGCTGGTCTTTATACTTTCCTTTCACTATCGGTGTCTCTGCCTGTTTTCCCAGTGACTTGTCTGCTTGTGTGCCATCGGCCATCCTGCTGGCTTTGTAGCTTTTCTTGTAACTTCTTCCCCCTCCTGGTCCGGAGGACTGAATCCACAGCTTTGACTTCTGGTCCGCGCTGTAACTTCCGGTGCAGAATGTCCTCCTCACTAATTTCCAGACTCTTTTCCTCATTTCATATTTAAAGCTATTCATTTTGCTCAGAATGCTGTTTGGTTGCATCCCTCCAATTTTATTTACTTATTTATTTTTGGTTTTTGGATACAGGGTTTCTCTGTGGCTTTGGAGCTTGGCCTGGAACTCACAGAGATCTGTCTGCCTCTGCCTCCCAAGTACTGGGACTAAAGTCGTGCACCACCACCGCCTGGCCCCTTCAATACATTTTCAATACATTCTCTACCTCGATTCAGAACTACGTCGTTAGTGTCTGTCTAAACCCGTGTGTTTTCCTTTAGATGTCTTTGGGTTGGTTTCAGAGGTGGTTGTTGCTTTTGTTTCTATGAGACAGGGTCTCACTGTGTAGCCTTAGCCTCCCAGTGCTGGGATCAAAGGTGTGCTGGGACAGCTGTTGCTGTCTAAGTTGTTTGCTATGTGAATGGCTTTTTTTCCTTGAGACTCCTTTTGGTATTTAGGGTTGGTCATGGTCTTTTGTTCCTCCTGTTTACAATATAGGCTGTTTGATCCCCACAGTAAGCCGAAGTGACAAGGAACTGGCCACTTCCTGTCAGACCCTAGGAACTGCCTTGGGTTTAGCCTTGGTGCACGTTGAAGCCAGGTTTCTTACTCTTTGACCTCTTTTTTTTTTCCCCCTTATCTTCCTTCACCAGTCCAGGAAGCCGTCTCGCTCTTACACATTGCACATGCTTGCCTGCACACTCCAGGCTTGCC